TGTCTGTCTGTCTGTCTGTCTGTCTGTCTGTCTGTCTGTCTGTCTGTCTGTCTGTTTGTCTGTCTGTCTGTCTATCTGTCTCTGTGTTGTCTGGTCACAGCACAGTTTATGATTATTGTGTTGATGTGCTTTTGTTTTAGTAAGTACAACAATTTTACTAATGTACTGAATTACAAGATCTCTTGATTACTGCTTTTTAATCCCCCTTAGTTTAAACTCTAGCCACTAGCAGTGTAACCACTCTGACTTGAAAGATAAACTAGTTTTGATCAGGGTTGTATTCTCAAGTCGAGAGTTTGGCAGGTCTCCATTTCATGCTAGTGGAGCTTTAGTCGTAAAGTTTTGAATTCACCTTGTGTATGTTTGTGCTCATAAGTTGTTGACACAAAGTTTCTTTTCATTCTGTAGTCACACAAACAGTGTGTAAGCACATCATGTTGTATTTGTTTGGGGCTTGTTTTGTGTGTGTGTGTTTGTTTGTTGTTCTTGTTTTTTTTGTTTCAGTTTTTTTGTGGAGGGGATGCTGATTTATGGAAAGAATAATCTGGTCCTCAAAAGTAAAATATTTCCCATAAATGCTAGTAGGACTCAGCTATCTGAAGAACATATGTGCTCTATTATGCTTGTAAACATGGCTAGTTAGAATACTACTTTTCTGTTTAGTGGTATTAGATTTCACAAGTATCTACTTCATCTTGTGAAAAATCTTACTTCTGTCATTCATGGTAATGGTCATCTGTGAATAGGAAGTTTGTTTTTTTCCCATTACCATGATGCAATCTTAAAAACCACCTGAATTTGTTTTGGGTTTTTTTTCATTTTGGTTTCGTTGCCTTTGATGACATGGCCTTCTCTTTGAACATAACTGAATTTTATCCCTTATCCAGAATACCTTTGCAATTTTGACTCTACCAATGTCTAAGTCTTACCATTTTGATCAGAAATGGGTTTTGAAAGCAAGGCAGCTGTTGTCAGATTTCACATCTCATGCTGTGCTTCTTTAACTCATCTTTTGCTCCTGTAAATGTCTGCATATTCCTCTCATGTCACTGAATCACCATCATTGTCTTGTGCTTTTGTTTTCTCTCTCCCTTATCACAAAACAAACCACAAAATATTTGAACAAAAAAGAAGGATAGCCTTGCTGACCTGGTGAGTGCTAAGTTCAGCCTTCTTATCTGTCCATGCTTTTATTGAATGTTGCTACATCTACTCATATGGAAGCCAAAAATTTTATAACCAAGGCCCCCTTTTCTTTTCATTTTTTAAAAACGTTTTGTAATTTTTCCATCTTTTTTCCCCCCAAGAACCAGATCTTACCCTCGCATCCTGTTTGACTTGAACAGATTTTCACCTTTTATTCCTTAGCTTTTTTAATTGTCCCGTCACATTCCAACCTAACGTTTTAAGCAATAAAGGTTTGTTGCCATCTGTTTGCTGAACTATTAAAATGATAATTTCTTGTTTTGCTCAATGGAAGATGCAACTGACTAATATTCCCTTTTCATGACACAACTTCTACAGTGTACGAATAAGACTTCATTGATATCCCTTAAGCCTTGTTCAGTCATTTTCATCCGACTATATCATTGTTAGTGTCATTTTACAGTGCACATATAGGTTACATGTTGTCTGCAGGTTGTCACAAAACTTTTTTCTGCATTAGCCTTACCATTTGCAATGCTGTAAGAGCTTGTGTTAGATCACACTACAGCTTGTTCACTTTCGTATGACCGTGGTTAAGATTAAGATAAAGGGAGTGCTTATTTAGGCCACATATGGCCTAAATAAGGTAAGGGAGGGGGTTTAGCTTATTTAGGCCACAGTGGACTGTGGCCTAAATAAGGTAAGGGAGGGGGGTTTAGCTTATTTAGGCCACACATGCTCAAACTACCCTTTTCAGGCAACTGAGTTCGTTCCACTTTCATAATGGTGCACCTTTCTCATTTAGTACGGTTTTGTCTCAGTGTACAACTTATAAATCATAACCATAATGAATATTGTAAAGAACAAAGCACAATACGCAAAATTTTGCTCAATCCCAATGGTTTGAATGAGGGCCAGATTTTTCCTTCATGGAGGGGCAAAAGTTAGGCTACCATTTTGGCACACTTTGGTCAAGTGAAAAGGTCAAATCCTCCGAATGGACTTCCGGGTTAAATTTGGGGTATAAAAAGTGTGTACACTACGTGGCTGAGTCAATGTTACACTATCTTTGCCTGAGTGACACTCTCTCGTACTGTCTCGTAGTAGTACATGTAGGCTAGTAGGCCTAGTAGTAGTAGTAGCAAAGATCGTGTAGAGAATATTTGGTAGTAGATTCTATCTAGTAGGCAGTTTAGTGAACGTGCTCGCAGCTGGGCGAATCGGCCTCGATAAGCCCCATAGACTTTTGTGATCGGCCACGAAGCCTCGTGTTTTGATGGGTCTAGATCTAGATCTAAACAACTCAGTGTTATTCGCACTGCCACATCCGACAGGCCTAGATCTACATCTTTTTAAAAGGAAAAGAAAGATCATCAAAATGGTTTAATTCGCGTGAAAATCGATTCGGTAGAACTAGAACTATTAAAATTTGCTTCTGAAAACAAGGCCATTTTTATACGAAGGCCATTTTTATAACTCGGTGAAATAAAAACTACTGGCTGTGTACTGTGTTATTCTGTATAAAAATAAATTATGAAATTTCAGGACGTATTATTATTTTCCAGCATCTTTTGACGCCTAAGCTGTAGAGGTTGAAGTTTTCACAACACTAATAGATCTAGTAATAGGGTTAGGTAATAGGGCTTTCCGTAAAAAATGCATAGATCTACAAAAGCCGAACCACCGAATCGACCGGGCACCTCGCTCTCCCCTGCACACTGTGATAACGTGTTGCTTCAGTATCGCATTATTCAACTATTAATACGTGCAGCTATGGCAATTGGGATGTACTGACTGACAAAAAATTCAGTTTTGTTTTTATTTTACCATATATTTGACTTTAATAGTGCAGGCGATAGCAAGATCTAGATTCCCTGCCTAGAATCAGTAGTAGCAGGCCTATGCTAGAAGCAGCCAGAGAGCCTACAACTGCTAGATCTAGATCTAACTTATTATTGCTATGCCTTTGGGCTTTGGAATTGAAATAAAACGAATTGCACAGTTCTAGTTACTTTTAGATTCAGCAACTATCTGTATTTCCAGAGTCAATAATAACAAATCTCAGCATAACAATCACTTTTACTTTTATTAGAATAATTAGATCCAACTTTTTTTTCTAAAATCTGTTTTGCGCAAACTTAAGATTTTCTCTACTTGTAGAGCACAGAATTTACATTGTAAGCCTCTGCTCGGTCTTTTAGTATACATAATAAAATACACACACACACACACACATATATATATATAGAGAGAGAGAGGGAGATCTTTATCATTTTATGTTGTTTTCGGGATATTTTTAAAACTTTTTTTCAACATGTCATAAAATCAAATTGTGCCATTTTCTTTGAAAAGAATAGCATTAGCAGTGGACTTTTTAGACAGCGAGTCTCTGATTCAATATTTTTTTTTTAATATGCTAATCAATGAAAATTGCAAATTGATAATAGTTTAGTCCTGTAGAGGATAGGTGGACCCCGGGGTCTGCAGAGCGAAATACTAGGTTTTAGGATGTGAACCCCGGAGTCACCGTAGTGAAATAAGGTTTGGTTTAAGTAAGGATTGGTGGACCCCGGGGTCAACGTAATGATAAATAAGCAGGTTTAAGGTGGACCCCGGGGTCTACCTAGCGAAATACTAGGTTTTAGAACAGGTGGACCCCGGGGTCACCGTAGTGAAATAAGTAGGTTTCTTTAAAGATTGGTGGACCCCGGGGTCAGCGTAGTGAAATAAATAGGGTTAATTTTAAAAGGATTGGTGGACCCCGTAGTCACCATAGCCGTAGAGGAATAAGAAGGTTTAATTAAGGATTGATGGACCCCCGGGACACCTTGATTAAACCTACTTATTTTACTACGGTGACCGCAGGTTCCACCTATTCTAAAAACCTAACTAGTATTTCGTTAGGTAAACCCTGGGGTCCACCTTAAACCTACCTATTTCACTACGTTGACTCCAGGGTCCACCAATCCTTAAAATTAAACCTAGATCTACATGTACTTATTTCACTACATTGACTCCAGGGTCCACCAATCCTTAATTAAACCTATATCTACTTATAATTTCACTACGTTGACCACGGGCTCTGCCAGTCCTACTATAAAATAAACTGAGATCTACTTATTTCACTATGTTGACCCCGGGGTCCACCGATCCTTAGTTAAACCTAGATCTACTACTTATTTCACTACGCTGACTCCGGGGTTCACATCCTAAAACCTAGCATTTTGTTAGGTAGACCCCGGGGTCCACCTATGCTTTTGGCTAGATAGACCCCGTAGTCCACCTATCCACTTTCTTGATAATAACTGAAAACAATACATGCCAGTTGTCATGAATAATGAAGAAAAATGCGGAGGGAAAAATACAATGAGGTAGACTATAATTTGTCACAAAAATTGCAAGTGCAAGTGAAGATCATAAAATAATTTTGTTATTTTCTGGTCATCTTTCCCAGTTTATAAAAAAATTCCAGTGGGCCTACTACTAGATCTAGGTCTCTGAAGAACATTTTGCTTGCCTTTATTAGCTTTTTTCATGTACATGAAAGCATAGAATATATAGTTTCACACAAATATATGCACAATACTTTGAAAAAGAAAGATAAGGTCATTGTTGTTTTGTTTTTTTACGGAATCCATTTTACGTTGAGAAAAGCGCTAAAAACAAGTTTTAAAATTTTAAGAATGCCCATAATATTAGTATTAGGAATCCGAAATTACTACCTAGTTGGCTTACTCTTTAATAACCATGAGCAGTTAAGAAGAAAAAAAGCCAATGATATAGGATTTGTCTAAATATGACCATTAGCAATAAAGATATTGCCCATTTTGTCCAATTATCCTTGCAGGTAAAATCACCCTGCATTGTACCTCAATAAGCACAAAGGGAATATTTCTGTGACTTTGTATAAAGGTGTGGCCTAAATAAGGTTAGGGAGGGGGGTTTAGCTTATTTAGGCCACAGGTGTGGCCTAAATAAGGGAAGGGAAGGGGGTTTAGCTTATTTAGGCCACCTGTGGCCTAAATAAGGTAAGGGAAGGGGTTTAGCTTATTTAGGCCATATGTGGCCTAAATAAGGTCACCCTAAGATAAAATGAAATTGCTCTGTTTAATCTTCTCAGATCTTTGCATGCGGGTCTAAAAGTTGGATGACCAACAGAATCTAAAAGCCCATTCATAAAGGTCACTGCAAACTAAGATTCTGATACATTTTCTTTGATGTTTGCCTAAAGCGAATCAAAGAAATAACTGGAGATTTACAATACACTTAAAACATTGAAAAGTTTATATATTTTCCTCAACACCACGTTTTAGCGTACACCAAAGAAACACAATTAAAGAGACAAAGTGAGTAATTGTCGAGACTCATGTGGAGACGTCTTGACAGTTGGGGGATGTAGAATATATTTTTTTTTTTACTGGATCAAGATTTTTAAAAGAAATATTTTTGTTCAGTTGCTGGCCTGCAGAAGTGCCATGCGAAGTTTCATGGGCTTCGTAAATTAAAAAATAAGGTAGAATTATTTTTTTTACGCCGACAGACGAAAGTGAACAAGCTATAGTACATTACTCATTTAGAAGATCTCATATTTTCCGTCATATTTCAAACGTTTAGTTGTCATCTGATCAAAACTGTCGTACTACATGCACCTTTTTTAAAAACCATATTTTTGTCGATATTATTGCTTCATTGTTTCTACTGCAGCGAGATGTCAGCTATAGCTGTTGTATCTACACCTTTATCTCCAACTTCTCTCTCGTCAGTCTTTTCTGTATTGTTGCAATGCTCTTTCAAACTGCACTTTTTTTGTGTTGGAGTATTTCAGATTGTCTGCTTTGCTTGTAATTGTGGATCTTGATTATGTATACATGTGTCGATGTAGTACTCATGGATCAGGGGGAAACACTGTTGAAAGTAGTGGTTCCTGAACTTTTTTGACTGTGACCCACACCACCAAATCTTTTTCTTGAGGATCTATAGAAGGAAACTGAAATCCAGTTTTTAGA